GATAGGGTATATGCTAGACCCTTAATAAGTGTTTGTTGAGGGATGGAACACTATAATTGCCTAACGTTTATAGCAGGTCCTATCACTACGGAAACATTATCTCCAGGCAGCCCTGGGAGGTGAGCTTAGCAAGGTCATTACTCATTCTATAGAGGAAGACTCAGTCCAGGTGAGTGAGGAGGGACCTGCTTCTGGCCACATAGGTACACCTCCAGGGCAGTGCAGAGTCCAATGTGATACAGGACAGGGAGCCACTGTGCCGGGCGGGGGTGGCTTATTGGAGTTTTCAGGGGTCAGGGCTGGGGGAGCCTTGGAGACCACACATCCAGTGTTCTCAACCCTCAGTGGGCATCAAAATGGCTTGGGGGAGGGGTTTTCAAAACTGCCAATGCCCAAAGTCTCAGATATCTTGATTCATTAATTGGCCTGAGGTGGGACCTCGACATTTTTCAGCATACACCCCTTCAATTTGTCACTTTTCAGATGAAAAAGCTGAGGTTTGGAGTGGGAATTTTAATAACAGCTAATACTTACTGAGTGCTTATGATGTCAGACACTGTTCTAAATAGTGCAGGTGTGATAGCCACCTGATCCATCCCACCATAACCCTGCACAGAAGGCACTGTTATTTACTTATTTTTATTATGTACTGATTTTAGAGAGAGAGGAAGGAGGGGAGAGAGAGAAACATCAATTTGTTGTTCTACTTACTTGTGCATTCATTGGTTGAATCTTATATATGCCCTGTGGGGAGACTGAACCCGCAGCCTTTGTGTATTGGGACGATACTCTAAAGGAGCTACCCTGCCAGGGTGAAGGGACGGTAATTATAAGCTCCCTTTTGCAGTGAGAAAACAAAGCACAATGGAGCCAAGGTCACACAACCAATAAATGGTAGAGCTGGCTTTGAGGGCACACTCTCAACCTTGACCCCACAGTTGTCAACTCCAAAGTTGCAAAAAAGCCCATGGAAGAGCCAGGCCCAGATCCCACAAGTCTGGGCAGAAAAGTCTGGAAACGGGTGAAAGTGGATAAACTGAGGCCAGAAAAGCCACAGTCCAGGTGGAAGCTCCTGACGCGGCTGAGCGGTGAGGGGCTGGGCAGCAGGGCAACTTCTCTATGGGGCCGCCCTCTACCTGCCTGCCTCCCCTCCTGAAGGGGAGCACTGACCAGCCCCAACTGTGCTGTCACCCTGCCTGTGCTAATTGATGCAGCCTCCTAATTGCTGATCTCAAGGAGGCAATGAAGTCCAATTAGGGAGGGAGAGCTAGTTAGTGTTCAGCTTCCCTGGCCTTTGGGCAGCCTCCCTCCTCTCTGTTGAAAACTACTGCCCACCTTCCCCAACCCAGGGGGAGAGGATTGTTGCTTGTATCGAGCATGTCAGAAGTTCACATTCCTTCCTTGCTCTCCCAGAGATCAAGGGTCAAGCACTTTGGTCTGTTCCCACCTCTGCACTGCAAGACAGCTCTGTCTCCCAGTTTCACTAGACAAGGACATTGATGTCAACCCATAATTCACAAGCACTTGCCCACTACCCCAGCTCTCCTCTCCAAAACCCTGGAGATAGAATACCCCACATTATCACTGGGGCTCAGAGGGGGTAAGTGATTTGCCAGGATCACACAGTCCACTTTAGCCCAGATCTCATACCCCTGATGTACATATGAATAAGTCTTTCCGATGATCTCACCCCCATTATTCCTGATGTAACATGGCAGACAGGTGGAACATGAATTGCGAGCCTTCTTCCCACTGCTACACTATGCTAGGTTACCCCATTTGATTTGATTTGCTGTCTCCCTGTGTTCATTTGTCTGACTGTTCCCAATTACCCAGTGCCAAATTCCAGAGTCAGGACACAGGGATCAGTTCTCTCTTCCACCCATTCACCCTGTAACCTTGGAGAAATTTTCCTTCTATGGGCCTCAGTTTCTTCACCTACAAAACAAGTAGACTGACCTGGAAGATTTCCAAGGCCCTCCATCCCTCCACTGCAGGGGAAGAGATGGTAAAGGGCTGGACTTCCCTCTCACAGGCCATCGGGGTCCAGGGGTGGGATGGGGATACCTCTTTCATACTGAAATTGGGGGGGCCACAACCAAACAAGAAAGAAACTGTCCTGAAGGCAACTGAGGGAGGCTGGGAACTCCCAGGCTCCAAAAGGGACTGGGAGTGGGGAGCGTGTTGGGGGAGGTATACAGCAGACACAATGATCACATACACATGTGCACGCGCGCGCGTGCGCACACACACACACACACACACACTCTTGTCCCCAGGGCCAGAACTGGAGGAGACGCCCTGGCTGGTGTGACTAAGTGGTTAGAGTGTCGCCTGCACACCTGAGGATTGAGAGTTCGATTCCTGGTCAAGAGCACGTACCTAGGTTGGATGTTCGATCCCCAGCACTGTCGGGGAAATATGCAGGAGGCAAGCAATCAATGTGTCTCCCTCACATCGATGTTTCTCTCTCTCCCCTTCTCTCCCTCCTTTCCACTCTTTCTAAAAATCAATGGAAAAAATATCCTTGGGTGGGGATTAAGCAAAAAAAAAAAGAGAAGAGTGAGAAGCAGGGTGGGCCACATTTCCTGGCACACATCAGGCCGTGCATTTTACCAGCCTCCCTCCCAATCTGTGTTGGGCACATAGGTTAGGGCAGGCAGGGAGGCTGGGGAGATGGAGGGCCCCTTCCCATCTCCTCCAAAGTCTTAGCCACACTCTAACTTCCATGCCCCTGTTCTTACTTTGCTGCTTTCTGGGTCTTCACAAGCATAGTTAGAGTCAGACTAGCCTGGGTTCTAATTCTGGCTCTGACACTCATGTCCTATCCTATCTGTGTCATCCTGGGCAAGGGTGAAAGTTTCCTTTTCTATCAAATGGGGTAACATTAATTCCGCAAGGCTGCTGTGAGCAATAGTGAGATGTGCATGTACAGTGGCAGAGAGCTCAGTTCCCCTCTTCGTATCTCGTAGAGCACAGGCCCAGGGGCTGAGGTTGGAGCGCATGCTGAGCACGGCGGAGAAGCCACAGGGCATCCGGTCCCCAGCACCCAGTCCCCTCACAACCTCCCTTTTCCTGTGGTGAATCACGATTCACAAGCCTTGGGGACCCAGGAGTCCCCAGCTTGCCACAAACACTACCATTGCCATAGAAACCGGGCCTCCCCTTCCTTTCTCGCTGATTGATTTCACCACATTGTCCCCCACGCTGTGTCTGGTTCCTAGATCTCAGCTTTTGACTCATTGATTCAACTACCTCTCATTTCATGTCCCCAAGATACTGTCAACCTACCCCCACTGCACCGTCTGTGCCCCCAGCCCCTCAGCCAGGGCCTTCTCCCAGTGGCCTCCCCACTCCCTTTCCTGCCAAGTTAGCTGTGCACTCGCTGGGAAACACCTGTCCATGAGCGGTGAGCGCGCATCAGCCCCTGCTGCCTGGGGCCTGGAGCCCCATCAGGCCTGAGGACTCCAGCTCTCTGGCCCAGTTGCTGCCTCAGCTGTGAGATGTGAGATCAGCAAGGGCAAGGGAGGTGGCCACCGGCTGAGACCAACAGGCACTGGCGCCATCTGCTGTCCTGGAGGGACCAGCCCCACCTTCTTATGGGTGGCTGTGTCCAGGCTAGTCCTGAGTGGCAGAAGGCCCTGGCTCTCTATCGTCTCAGGGGAGACAGTCATCCACACCATTTGTTCATTCATCCGCTCACAGATATTTACCATCTCATGGGCTCACAGATATTTACCATCTGTGTGCCCAAAATGGTTCTCGTCCTCATGGAGTGGAGAAGCAATTAAATTACGATGAGCGCCTCAAAAGGAGCAGCTCAGGAGGCTAGGGGGCAGAGACCAGACACCGAACCCAGGCTCGGTGGTTTTGGAGCAGGCCTCCCTGAGAAAGGGATGACTAAGTCCTGAGTAATAAAAACAACATTTATTCAGCACTCTCTAGATGCTACATAGGTACTTTACATGCCTCTTTCTGCTAATCACACAACAATCCCATGAGGTAATTGCTACTATTATCTTCATTTTATTAATGGGAAAACAGGTTCAAGCATTAAGTAATTTGCACAGGCAGTAGGCAGCAGCTCCAGCCGCCCACCGGTAGCCCAGGTTTGGAGGACACCCACACTGCTGCAGACAGGCGAAAGAAAGCATGTTCCAGGCAGAGTGAACTACAGGCATGGGAACCATTGGCCATGTGGACAGAGAAGGGCCAAGGAGGCTGAAAAGGGGCACCCAGGGAGGTAGAAGAAATGCCGAGGGAATAGTTTAGAGAAGGAGGGTGGGACCAGCAGGGTCAGAGGTTAGAGGTCAAGAAAGATAAAAATTGAGACTGGACACAGCCCCTGCTCTGAAGAGCCCTGGTCAGTGTGGGAAGGAGAGGCAAAGAAACACAGGGAATAGTTAGTCCCTCTGCGCAGGTCTGATGTCAGGGCTTGGGCCAACCAACAGGCCTTTAGTAATCTGCGAAGGCTGCCTGGAAGAGATGTGTAGAGTTACCCACCCGGAAGAGCATGGAAGTACTTCTAGAAAATTGGCAATAAGGGGCACTGGGCAGCCAGGGCACCAGGCAGCCTGGTATACAGAGTTCCTCCTGTCCCTAGCATCTTCAATGCTCCTCCTGAGTCTGCTGTGGCATCCAGTACTTACCTTTTGCAAGTACTTAGACCACAGTGCTGTCAAAGCCAGTTTACATGTTCTGCAAGCTACACCAGACTGGAAGCTCCCCCAGGACAGGGGGAGTGTCTCTCCAAAACCTATCATAGGGGAGGCACTCAATAAATATTTTTGAGTGGATGATTAATTGAATAAATGAAAGGAAGAAAATGACTGTGTGATACTGAACAAGTCACTCCACATCTTTGGGCCTCAGTTTCCTCTTCTGTAAAGTGGGGGCGGGAGAGTGTACAACAGTGGCGTGCTTGTGCATGTTTAATAACCAGTGGGGGAAAGCCCTGGTTTATGGCAATTGCCAATTGTCATGGTGTAAATTCTCTCACCATGGCTGATTTCAAGTTGAACAAGGGGGCTCTCACCAGCAAGTGCAAGGCACCTCCAGCTCACCACTGCGTGTGGGGTAGCTTGGGCCAGAGGGCCTCCAGGGCACTTTCTAACTCCAGCATCCTTGCACAAGGCCCCTTCCCCAGAGCCTGAGGGTCAGAGGTTAGGCTTCTCCCCGCTCATCATCTCCCTAGCACCTCCAATTATCTCTTGTATCCAGTTCCAGGACCTGGTGCCCTTTATTCTCATGTTGTGCTCAAAGCACTGAAAGAAGATCCACGTGGCTGGAGTGGAGAATGGGAGGGAGGGCAGGGTCAGCTGGACAGCTGTGCAGGGGCCAGAACATGAAGGACGTTCTAAACCACACGAAGGCCCTGGCCAGGTAGCTCAGTAGGTTAGAGCATCGTCTAGATATGCCAAGTTTGCAGGTTTGATCCCTGGCAAGGGCACATGCAAGAATCAACCAATGAATGCATAAATAAGTAGAGGAGCAAATCGGTTTCTCTCTGTGTATCTCTCTCTCCCTTTCTCTCTAAAATTAATAAATAAAAAATAAATTTAAAAAAACCATGAAGGAGTTGGTCTTGCATCTAATGGCAATGGAGAGCTAATACAAGGTTTTAAAGAAGAGTTTCATGATCTCATATATATATATTTATTTAATGTATCTTTATTGATTTCAGAGAGAAAGGAGAGAGAGAGAGGGAAACATCAATGATGAGAGTCATTAATTGGCTGCCTCCTGCACACTCTCGACTGGGGACCGAGCCCACAACCTGGGCATGTGCTCTGACCAGGAATCAAACCACGATCACCTGGATCCTAGGTCAATGCTCAACCGCTGAGACACGCCTGGCCAGGCTATTTATATTTTTTAATCCTCACCCGAGGATACTCTTCCCATTGCTTTTCAGAGAGAGTGGAAAGGAGAATGAAAGGGAGAGAAACATCGATGTGACAGAGACACATCAACTGGTTGCCTCCCGCACGCGCCCCCACCAGGGCTGGGGATCAAGCCTGCAACCGAGGTATGTGCCTTTGGCCAGAATTGAACCTGGGACCCTTCAGTCTGGCTCCAACCACTGAGCCAAACTGGCTAGGGCTCATGATCATATTTTTTTTAAAAAGTGATCTCTCTGCCAGTGTGTGGAGAATGGATTGGAGGGAGCAGAGGAGACAAGAGCAGAGGAGAGAGACCAGTTAGAGGCTACTGTAGGCAGGAGATGATGGTAGCTTGGATCAGGAGGGTAGCAGTGGAGGTGAAAGTTGATGGGTTTGGGAAATGTTTGAGGTGGAGTTAAGAGGACTGATTGATGGACTGGATGGGAAGAAGTTTGGGAAAAGGCAGGAATCACAGATGGCTCCAGATTTCTGGCCTGAGCAACCATGTGGATGCTGGTCCTTTACTGGAAGCAGAGAAAGCTGGGGGAGGAGACATCTGGACTGTTATGGTAGTGCCAGGACTAAAAACTCAGGGCTCCTGGTTCCAAGCCAGGAAAATGGAAGCACCTGCTTTTCCTGTCCCTTTGGGCCAAAGGGACAAAACATGGAGAAAATTGGGGAACATGGCAATGGAGAGGGGCAGAAACCAAGGGCACAAAATAATAGTGACAATAGCCAACACAATGCCAAGCACTGTGCTTTATATATGTCGTTAAATTCTCACAATATGACCATCCTTTCTAAATTCATCACTTTATACCTTTCTATTCCCATACCCTGCTTTATTTTTCTTCAGAGCAATCACCACTACCAGAAATTACATGATCAATTCTTTACTGTCATCTGTCTCCCCTCCCCTCCCAGACTACCAGCTCTGGCACAGTAAAGACCTTATCTGTCTTGTTCAATGGTGTTATGTGCAGTGCTTAGAACAGTGCCTGACGCAGCAAGTGATCGATATAGGGTGTCACACAAAAATGCATACACACACTTTGAGTAATTATAAAGGCAGTGTTTATTAAACTACATTTCATTTTCAAAATTGAGCTATCAGCTGTTATAGTGTGTATACATTTTTGGGGGGTACACCCTGTATTTAACTGCTTATTAGGTATTATTATCATTCCCCTTCCAGACCCAAGTCAGTTGGACTCAGTGCTTGTTTCCTTAGCCTGTACCCTGAATAGTGTCTCCCCTGGACGTGAAGCCGATCTTAAGCAGCTGGAGAGGAATCAGGATAACCTGGACCATGGAGACAATCAGGTCTTAGCCACGTGACTCAAGAATAGACTGGTAGCCTCTTGCTCTCTCCCATGTGTTGGATACCCTTCCAGAAAAGGGCAAGGTGGGAGCTTCAGATGACACCTGAGGCAGGGCTGGGCATGGAGACGGAGCTGGACAGGAAAGAAACACCTGGTCCCTAGTGTCACAGCCCGGACTGGAGCCACTCCCAGTAGTTGGCCTGCAACGCCACCTTGTGGCCAAGGTTCAAAAGTGCTTTTCCTCCCACTGTCCCCTGCCCCTCAGGATCCAGGCAAGCTGGCCACCTGCCCAACCAGCAAGTTTCCCTGGGAACCTCTAGCACTAACTTCTAGCCATCCCTCCAATCCTTTCCCTTCCAATAAACTTCATTCATCCTTCAGGGACTCCAGATCTACTTCATCCAGGAGGCCTCTCCAAACTGCTCCAGCTTTAGTGATCACTCCCTTCTCGGCCTCCAGAAACTCGCTGGGTGTCACTGTTTACTTCTGGGGCCCTAGGCTCTGGGTCAGACAGATCTGGCTTTGAACACTGGAGTGTCCACTTACCAGCTGTGTGACCTGAGCAAGTTACTTAATCTTTTTGAGCTGTAGGTCCTCGAATGTTAAGCAGAGATGGCAATTCCAGCCTCACAGAGTTGTGAATAGGATCAAATGAAATCAAGTCTGTAAAGGCCAAGGGAGCCTCGAAATAAACAGGCACTCAGGAAATGGCAAGTCCCTCCCATCCCTCTCTCTGGTTTCCTCTTTCTTTTCCTGAAAAAGGAAACATGATGGAATAGGAGGCACAAGAGAGTCACAGGACCTGGGTTCTCTGGGCCTCAGTCTCCTCTGTAAAAAAAGGCCATTAGATAATTGATGAAATCATTCATTCATTCACTCAATTGCAGTTCCACCTATGAGTCTATACTTAATTCATCTGTGCCAGATTGTGTCTCATGTTTGAGTATCCCGTTAGTATCTAGCACAGTGCCTGGCCCACAGAGGGCACTGGAAAAATCCCTCAACAACCTACCAAGGGGATGTTTACTGCTTCCCCCTCCCTGCCCCAAGAGAGTACTCAGCCCTAGCTGGCACCAGGAACCCCCACCCCCACCCTAGCTCGAAACCAGAGCTGGCGCCACTGGGTGAGGAATCTGGGGACCAACTGTCACAGCTCCGGTATCACCCGCCTCCTGGACGCCTGGGTCCAGCCTGAGTCCCAGAGGGGCCCTGTCAGCCAGCTGTCCCCGGGGGAACCCCAGTTCTGCCCCAACCCCTCTGAGCTGCTCTCCCTGGGGAAATCAGAGAAGGCAGAAGACCTGGTAGGGGGAATGCTGGAGTGGTGGGTCCCAGCAGAGGAGTGGAGGTGTTTTTCTGTCCAGGTCCAAACCTCAGGCTGGGCTTCAAAGCCCTTGGAGATCAGGTCCACAAAAACAGAAGGACCTACAGTGACCTCATTTCTCCTCCTATCCTGTAGCCCTCCAAGTCCCAAATACTGTTTTGCCCTCACATTTACTCGTATTTGTCCATGTTAACTGGGTCATGCAGTCTAGTTTCTGTGTCCTGCTGAGGGCAGAGATCAAGTTTGATGTTTCTTTTGTATGTCCTGCAGGATTTTCCCCAATACATTCTCATTGATTGAAACTAATGAGTCGAGTGTATTCCAGCAACAGAGAGAAAACTGGCTGCATTCTGGCTGCATTCTCAGCAGGAAGGATGGTGTTTAGATAACAAGGTGGACTTCCCATAAGGGAGGGGCATTTAAAAAAAGAAAACAGAAGCCCCATAGGAGAAGAGGCCCACCTGACTAGGACAGATGGAGAAGGCATTCTGAGAAGACTACAGAGATGGGTGAGATAACTTCTATAAGGGCCAGCTAGCTAGGTGGGGCAGCCTTGCTAGGTAGGGAGGGAGGGAGTGGGTGTCTCCCTCCCTCGAGGCTTTGAGAATAGGATAGGGAGGGGCAGGTGTTAGGTGTGTGCCCCCTTCCCTTGGGACTTGGTGTGTAGACAGTGATAACAGGTGCCCAGGTTTGCTCAGAAAAAAAAGAGACACAGATCTATACACAGACAAGCACTCTTAATCACCCACCCAACTCCTGTCCTCCAGCTTCCTCATGAACCGTGGGTCACCCACCCTCAACTAGGTCACCTTTCCTGCCCTGCAGCCAGGCCTATCTACACATGTACACACACACACACACACACACACACACACACACACACACTTGCACGTGAACACACACTGCACATACAACCAACTCAACAGCTCCCACAGGGTTCTTTGTCCTCCGGCCTGAGGCCAGGAGCCTGGGGTGTGTGTGTGTGTGTGTGTGTTAGAGACAGAGTTCCCCTGCATTCCAGTGCTCAACAGAAAAAAATATTTTTGGAATTATCTGCTCTTTGGGATGATCTTATTTTTGCAAGTCTAGATCTAGAACTGACTTCAAGTGACTCTTGGTGGGTCAGGATCTCCTCCAGTGCCTGGCACATCCTAAGAGTTCATTAGGAAGTAGTTAGCTGAATAAATGAATTAATGAAGACCACAGTCTAGCCAAAGTCAACTGCAAGGGGAAAACATCTAGGAAACTAATACTGATTGAACACCTAAGAGGAGCCAGGCACTATGCAAGAAATTTGGCTTATTATTTCTATTTTAGAGATGAGGAAATTGAGGTTCAGCTGTAAATAAATGTCCAAAGGGTAGAACTAAGAGGCAACAGTTTGGCTCCAGAGGCCTACTCCTTTCTCTTACACCATGAAGCTTCCAATATGCAGTTATACTCAACACACTCTTACTGAGCTTCTTCTGCTCTAGGCAAGGCCCTGAGCTGGCTGGGCACTGGGGGGCCAGGAGGGCTGACAATGACAAAGATAAGACACACAGTCCTATTCTCCAAGGTCCTGAAGGGGAGAGATATGCCACCTACACACCTTTCTGGTCATAAGGCAGAGTGTGAGGGCTGGGGTGGGTAAAGCCATCTATTTCCAAGCAAAATTGTTTAAGTAAGGCCTGGGGCCCTAATTGTCATAATTCTACGGTGGGCAGGCAGGGGGAGGGAGGAAAAGGAGGGCCTCAGAGAGAAACTTAGCTTGGCCAACAGTGTCAGTGGAGGAGGAGAGTCCCCTGAACAAAGGAGGCCACCAGCCTCTGGGAGCAAGGGAAGGACTCATCAAAACCCAGTCCTGGAGCTTGGCTCAAGGTGCCCACCCTCAGGCTCCTCTGCTTTGTGGACACTCTGGTGGTCCCCAGTGTGGATGGACATGCCCCATACCATCTGCAGGCACACGCTCGCTCCCATGTGTGCGCCCCTGCCACAGACCTAAGTGCATTCACACATGTCCTACCCTCCAGGGGCCAGGTTTACAATTGTCTCTCCCACCTTGGATAACTGCCTGGAGTCTCCAAAGGACACCCAAGTGTGGCCATATGGAGCATTAAAGCATCCAGGGGGTTGATTTGTCCTTGTTGGACTAGTGAGGTGGGTCCAGCAGGGACCACCGCCTCCCCTACTCCACCCCTTTATCTACCCTTTCCCATCCAGCAGCTGTACCCCTCCTCATTCATACACACAAGTTTCTGTCCTTTGTTTTCCTCCCTGGCCAAATCCCCAAGGCTTCTTTGGTCATTAACCTCCTGCTTTAATTAGCTTAGTGGGGAGGAAAGTGGAAGCAGGGCCAATTCAATAGTGGGTGTCTAGGGGGAAATCTCATTTGGGTGGGGACAGGAAGGCTCAGACCAGCTGGTGACAAAAATGCCTGGCACATAATAAGTCCTATGCAACTGTTTGCTATTCTATTAATGTGAAAAACAGTCACCTGGTCCACAGAGTAGGAACCTTCCACCCATTGAAAGCCCTATGGTCCCCAGTACCACTGCTCCTCCAATCCAGGGTCCTGGGGCAGAAAGAGAGGGGACAAGAGTAGAGAACAGCCAACTCCCACAGGGTCTTGTCTCTGCATTTCTTCCTCTCCCACTCTTTTTTGGAGGTGGTGGCACCCAATCCCTCAATAAGGTATGTTGTTAATTTATGTTAAGTGCCTGATCCAGGGGGCACCCCTCCCCAACTCCACGGTTTTCCAGTGGTTCCTGAGTCATGGCTCCCCTTCCAGAATCTTCTGCCTAGCAAAGAAGCAAGAGCCCCACAGAGTGCCAAACCCTAACCCCTCCAGAGATCCTCCAGTCTGACCCCCACCCTCTATTGGTGTGCAAATGTACTCTTTCCAAGAATCAATTTAGGGAACTGGGTTTGGCAGCTCAGCCCTCTCTCATGGCCTCATAGTACCAGGTCTATGAGGTCACTCATCTGTCCCCCAGCCTCCAGCAGGACTTTACCTCACAAACTAGCTCGGACTTTGGTTTCCAAGGCGCTCCAAAAAAAGACACCTTACTACTGTAGCTCACCCACCCATTCTTATCAAACACTTTTGGGAAGTTCTACTTAAAGTCTGACTTCAAGCTCTCATGCTGCAGGAGGTCTTTCCTTTGAGAAAGACCAGGCATAAAAAGAATGACAAAAGACATGCTGATGGTGTAGGGTAAGGGGAGAAGAGAAGATTGCATTATACTTCAACTTCCCCAAACTCACTCTAAAAGTGCCCAAGTGCCCAATTCATGCCTTAAAAACTTATTTTTACTTTCACCAAATTTCGAGAGTCAAAGGAACTGAATTAATGAATTTTCAATGCGGGAGAGAGGGGTAGAGTGATGGTGGAGGGTAGCGAACAGATCTCCAAGCTGTATGCATGGCCAGGCCTGAAGGAAGTCTGGGTCCCCATTTCGGTAGCGTCTCTCCTCCCTCCTTCTGTGGCACCCAGAGCTCACGGCTCTCACCTGGAACTGTTCAGTCACACCATGCCTTTAATACTACCTCTGCCTCCCACTCTGCCCCCCACGTCTCTCCTCCCCTCCACCCCCTCAAGCTCCTCACCTCACTCCAAAGCCCTCCAGGCTCCCCTCCAATGAACAGAAGGCAATGAACTAACTCACCTCCCAGTCGGTGCCCCTCAGATCTCCGAGACTGGGGGGCGGTTGGGTATGAGGGGAGATGGCTTGCCGCTTGGGAATGAGGGGACCCCGTCTTTTTCCTGGGGGTCCCACACTCCAGCCAGACACCCCATCCTGGCCCCCACTGCGCGCAGAGCCGGGCTCTCCCCGCATCGCGGCTGCGGGCTTTGTCTGCTCTGCGGAGAACCTCTCCCCGCGGCCCAGAGCTGGATCGACTCTGGCGGAGCGGGAGGGGGGCGGAGAGGGCGCGCGGCTGGGAGGAGTAGAGGGGAGAGGGAGGGAAAGCCGCAGTGACCTAGCCGGGACCGCTCCCCGCCCTCTCGTCCCCCCCCACTCATTACCATGAGAAAGAGGGACCTGAGACCTGCTGGGACCGCGTGGGAGCCAATCTTGGGAGGGGGGCGCGCTCCATTAGCCTCTTTTCAACCGTTCCGTTTCTGTACACTGGCTCTTTTCCTCTTGCCCGCGAAAAAATTAGGGACTTCGACTTTCATCCCACCCCCAGCTTTGCCTCCGAGACGTGGGTAGACCCAAGGCACATCCCGATCCTCCTTGGGTCAAGGAATTCGTCCCTGCGCCCCCAAGGGTGGGAAACTACAACTCCCGGCATGCCCCCGGCGCCCCCGGCGCGCCCCCCTCCCGTCAGTTCCATGCTGCTCCATCCAGTTCATTTAAAACAAAAGAGTTTGAGCGCTGGAAGGGGCTGGTCTCTATTGGGGGCCACTGAGTGCTACTCCTGGACTGGGGCTCGGTGCGGGAGCCTAAGGGGGGCGTTTGGAAGGCTGGGTCTAGAGACTCCGGGTCCGAGGAGGGAGGGGTAGGGGCAGAGATCCCGCAGCCCCCGGTCCCCCGTCACCCCGGGAGAGGAGAGGAGATCTGCTTTCTTGGTTTTGTTTCTCTTTCCCCCCACCCCCACCCCGGGGGCTGGGGCGAGGGGAGTCGGGTTACAGGGTGTTTGGGGAGGGGGGCTTAGGGGGAGGGTCTATCTTTCTATCTCGCCGTCTTTCCCCCTCCCCAGTTCTTT